TCGTGCGTGGTGGCCTTGCAGACGGTCTTGGAGACGGCCGAGCCCGTCACGCTGTGCTGCGCCGCCGTGATGCGGTCGGTCAGGCTCTGCCCCGACATGGTGCCCAGCTCCCAGGCGCGGCGGCCGCGGCTGATCCTGGCGGGGAAGCGGGGATGGGAAAGAGGGAGCAGGAGGAGGAGGAGGAGGGAGGAGGAAAAGGAGGGCGGGCAGGCACGGCCGACCGGCCCTCACGCCGCCACCCAGCCCTTTTAGACGCCCCAGCTGCGAGCTCCGCCTTCCTGAAGGGCCGGGCTGGCTCGTCACCCGGGAGAAAGGCCGCCTCTGCTCTCTCCCCGCCCGAGTGGGCGTCGCCTTTTCCTCCTTGCTCCCAGCACCACCCCCGACTCCGCCACCACAGGCGGGAAAATGGCCGCCGAAGAAGCCGCCTCCGAGGTCTTTCCGGGACGCCCGGATCACGTGACAGGCACCATTCTCTTTAAATGGGGCCTCTCTCGGCCCGCCCTCTCCTTTTTTAAAAAAACATTGCTAGCCCACGTGACGCGCTCCGCCTTGAAGGCAGAGGAGGGGGTGGTGGCGGGGCCACACCCCCGACGCCCCTGCACGTGACGTGCCGTCATCCCTCCTCCCCACCCCATTGTCGCCCCGCCCCCTTTCCTGGCGGCGCCCCGCCGGGGCTGCGTCACAAGGAAGAATGCGGTGACGCAGCGTGGAGGACCGCTGCGGGTTTTTTTTTTTTCCCGTCTCCTCTGCCCGGTCTTTTCCCCCTCCCAACTTCTTTCGTGGACGATTACGTCACCGGCATTCCTGAGGGGTGGGAGCGGGCGAGAAATCTCTCGTGGGCCGTTGCCTTCCCTGGGTGTTTTTTCCTGCCTTTTCCACTATAGGTAGTCCTCGATTTAACGACCGCAGTTGAGCCAAAATTTAGGTGGCTGGTTTTTTTTTTCAAATATTTTTTTAAATTTTCCAGTAGCAATAGCAGTTAGACTTATATACCGCTTCATAGGGCTTTCAGCCCTCTCTAAGCGGTTTATAGAGTCAGCATATTGCCCCCAACAACAANTTCATTTAAAAGCCAAAATTAAAAGGCAGCCCAGTCAAGCAGCGAAGGAAAACCGCAGAAAGCCCAAGGAACAGCGTGGCATCAGAGGGAGGGGGGGAGCGGGACTTAATCAGCCTAATGGTGCTGAAAGGACCTTTATTATTATTTTTGTCTCTTTTATTCATTAAACATGAATAAAACAGCCATTTAAACATTTAAAATGCATCACAAATATTTTATTTTATAATTATTATACTTTTATTCATGAAACATGAAACTCGGTCAACTGAACACATTTAAAAATGTATTATTATAAAGTTTTATTCATGAAACATGAAACTCGGTCAACTGAAGACTTAAGAATGTGTCAAATGCCATTGAGTAGTGCTAATGGTCGATAAGGGTTGCTGCCAGCGGCCTAGGTATCAACCAAGTACCCTCTTAAAATAATAATTTATTATTATTATTAGTATTGTATACTTTAGTCATGAAACATGAAACTCGGTCAACTGATGTTTAATGAATAAAGTATATATTTATTATTATTGTTATATACCTTATTCATTAAACATGAAACTCAGTCAACTGAATATTCAAAAAAATATTATTAGTGGTATTATGAGTAGTATTATTATTATGAAACAATGCCTCACGAAGGACGAAGGAGACACATATTCCTGACGGCCAAATTAACAGGAACGCTGCGCTTTTTCCAAGGCAAATTCCTTCAAGAGGTTTTTTTTTGGGGGGGGGGGAGAATAAACAGAGGAGGCGGATAAGAAGGAAAAGAAACCCAGAGGGGTTGACAAGAAGCTGCCCTAAGAAACTTTGCCACCCTTCGTCACGGAAGGAGCCCTGAGGGAAAGCGCCCCCCCCCTTAGGCTCCACGACCCCGAAGAGGCGCCCCTTCCTCCCTCGACTCCGAGCGGGGGGGAAAGAAAAGCCGCGGAGGAGGCTCGACCTGAGGGGGGAAAAAACGGCTTGAGGGGGAAAGAAAGGCAGCCCCGAGAGGAGGCGTCGGCGGCGTCGGACTCACAGTCGAGGTGCTTCTTCTTGGGGCCCATCAGCTCGTGCGTGGTGGCCTTGCAGACGGTCTTGGAGACGGCCGAGCCCGTCACGCTGTGCTGCGCCGCCGTGATGCGGTCGGTCAGGCTCTGCCCCGACATGGTGCCCAGCTCCCAGGCGCGGCGGCCACGGCTCAGAAATCTAAAAGTATGAAAGAAAACACCAATTATGTAAGGAAAGGTCACTAAAATGTATAAGCAAATNATCACTAAATTAGCGTCTGTAAGTTGAGGACTACTTGTGACAGGCTTAAGTCTGAAACGACATCTTTCCCCCTCCTCACTTTTATAGATAGACCAAGAAAGACAGAAGAGTTCCTTCTGAATCACTTGCCACACCCTTAATGTGTCTGAGGGCTCAGCTGCCTCTTATCTGCCTCTTATCTCACACTTGTCTCGTCGGTGGCTCTTCCTTCTGTCTCTCAAGATCATCCCACAGGCCATTACAATAGATGACCGTTTTCTGACTCACGCAGTTACTCAGTGTGCTGTTACATCAACACCAACTAAGGGCTTGAAAGATAAAAGTGAAAATGCCCTTAAGTGGTGCTTGGTTTCTCGCAAATGCGGGCATGCTGTTTTCTTCGAGGAGTTACACATTTGATTTGCGATCGTCTTATTCCTGGATTTACTTTCTCTGGACAAAAATAAATAAATAAAAATCCAGAAAGGCAGGAAGAAAATCGACTCGTTTTGAGCTATGGTGCTGGAGAAGACTCCCATTCCTTGGACAGCAAAGGTGACCAACAAGGAAGAAATGGAGCGTATAACACCAGACAGGTCATTGGAAGGAGGGAAAAATCACAAAACTGTGTCTCGATAGTTTTGGCTGTGTCAGGCAGGGGAATTCACTGGAGAAAGCAATTAAGTTTGGAACCGTTCCCACGCACGGGAACTGTGAGCGTGCGCCTTCCATGCATGCATGTGGCCTTCCGTGCATGCGCTTGGCTCTTGTGCGCGACTTCCATGCATGTGCGTGGCTTTAAAAATGTGGCTAAATAGGATGGCATAGAGCTGGGGCTGGTGAGCCACTATCAGTTTGCCTGAACCAGTCCGAACTGGCTGAATACCACCACTGCAGGCTGCCCAAGAACACGGTGAATGGACACCGTCAAAGCTGGCACCATCCAGAGCATGGAACAACTCAAAGAAGTCGTTCAAAATCAGAAGATGTGAAGAGACCTGGCCCAGAAACTCATCAAAAAAACAAACACAACTGAATGGATATTATCATTATTATTTTCTTCTTCTTCTTCTTCTTCTTCTTCTTCTTCTTCTTCTTCTTCTTCTTCTTCTTCTTCTTCTTCTTCTTCTTCTTCTTCTTCTT